AAACGGGGCACGAACCCGCGTCTCCTGCATCGGCAGGCGGACTCTCAAGCACTGCGCCACCAGGGAAGCCCCACATTTTTTAATGGTTGAAAAAAAATCAAAGAAGAATATTTCTTGACAGGTGAACATTACATGAAATTCAAATGCCAGTGTCCATAAATAAAGTTTTATGGGAACTAGCCACGCTAATCCATTTAACTGTTTACCTGCTACAATGGCAGAGTTGAGTAGTTCTTACTGGCACTACAAAGTCTAAAATATTTACTATCTGGCCTTTTATGGAAAAGGTTTGCCAGCCCCTGGTCTAAACCACACTATCCCCCAAAAATAAACTGGCTAATATCACAAAGATAGTGCTATGAAGGTACTAAAACAGGCTGCTTTCTAATAGACTTGGAGGGAGTTCCTTTATAAGGAAGATAGAGTTCTCTCTGCAGAAGCGACATTTAAGCTGAGAACCGAATGACATCCTGAGGCTGGGGAAGGGGAGTGTCAGGCAAAGGGATTAGCAAGGACATAGGCCCTGAGGCAGGAATGAACAGGTTTGAGAAACAGCTGGAAAGTCCAGGTATTTATAACTGAAATGAAAGAGGGAGAAGGCAGTGGAAAGTGAAGTTGAAGGGGAACAGGTGCCAGACAGGCCTTTTGGGCCAGGAAAGTCCTTTGCATTTCATCCCAAGGTCAATAGGAAGCTGAGAAAGTTTTAAGCAAGAGCAAGGTGGAATCCTGCTGCTGTGTGGAGAGTGGGTTACAGAGGAATGGAGCCCACAAGGGTCATAAGAGAGCTGACCCTCTCTTATGACCCTGTGATGGGGCGATGCCAGAGTCTGAATGCCACTGAGCCAGATGATGCCCGCGGAGCCAGGGGTCCACGCTGGCAGGGCAAAGGAAGGGAGGCCAGGTCTTGCTCCAGCACCGAGAAAAGAAGAAAGACAGCCAGATAAGGCTAATCACTGTCCCACCCAGGACCAGCAGGGAAAGAAGAAAGCCAGAGGTCTGTCAGGAGGCAGGGAGATGGGAGGCGGGGAGTTCGGAGGTGGGCACTGGCCTTGGGGCCGAGGAGGCGGGGGCGTAGAAGGCAGGGCGGGGAGGGAGGAGGTGGGGTGGAGGCGGGGCGCTGGAAACGCGCCTCTCGGGCTCTAGGGGGAGCCGCGGCTGGGCCGCCTCCCTGAGCCCCTCCGCTCCTAGCCTTTCTCCGGTCTGTCCCCGCCTCCTCCAGTGCCTCCACTCCCACTACCCAGGAGGGCAGTGCGGGGAGCGAGTGCTGCTTTCGCTTTCCCTTCCCCGTGCCCACTCCTCGCTCCGCGTGCGGCCCTAGGCCGCCGCCCCGGCCATGGCCACGCTCAGGGTCCTGCCCGAAGCCCAAGCCAAGGTGAGCGCTGCGGGTTCGAGGAAGGGCCCATCAGGGAGGCGTGGCTCCGAGAGGCTGAGGGCGTCTGTGACCCGCTCCCACCCAGCCCCCAGACTCGAGTCTGGGTCAGTCATCCGAACCCTCGTGAGCCTCCGTGCCCAGAGCACCTGAGCCCGGGGAGCCCGGCCAGGTCTGCCTGCCGGGAAAGACAGAGGCGAGGCGGCCGAGGTTCAGCGGGGTGAGGTGAAGCGGAGCGCTGGCGTGGAGGGGAAGTACGCTGGCCCCGGGCCCAGGCCCACACACAGACTGGGAGCGGACCCTGCCCTGCCACCACAGGAGGCCCCGGGGCCCACTCCACAGGGCACTCCGCCCCTTCCCCAGTCGCAGCGGCTCCCTTACATCCCTCCTCCCACAGCCCAGGAGACACTAGGGATGTTTCCGCTTGAACCCTTCGCCCTTCAGCTCCAGGAATGTTCTCATTTCCCAAATCCCGCCCCACCTGGGTCCACTCCACCCTTCCCCAAGTCAGACCCTACACAACCCTAAGGGTCCTTGAATAGACTGGCCATAAAGCCCGTTGTCTGAAGGGCTGCCTGTGTCCCACAGGTGGATGTGTTCCGTGAAGACCTATGTACTAAGGTAAGACCTGATCCGTCATCACCCCACCCCTCCCTACCCAATCCCACTGCTCAGCCCTTCCTTGCTGGGCGGTGGCAGCCCTGCTTCACTGCCTAGGAGGGGCATTTGATTCTGACCGCCATCCTCCCCTACCCTTACCCTACACACAGACAGAGAACCTGCTCGGGAGCTATTTCCCCAAGAAGATTTCTGAGTTGGATGCATTTTTAAAGGTACTGGGGCTGGGCAGGGAGTAGAGAGTAGGGGACAAAGGGAGAGCCTGCTGGGCCATGAGAGTGAGGAGGTGAGAGCCTGCCCCTGCCTCCAGCCCTTCTCCCCCCCTGCACCAGGAGCCAGCTCTCAATGAAGCCAACCTGAGCAATCTGAAGGCCCCGCTGGACATCCCAGTGCCTGATCCAGTCAAGGAGAAAGAGAAGGAGGAGCGGAAGAAACAACAGGAGGCAAGTTGGCAGGAGCTGGGAGGAGGGACCCAATACGGGGAAAATCAGCCTTAGGCCTGCCTAAGAGACCCCTTCTCCCTACAGAAGGAAGACAAGGATGAAAAGAAGAAAGGGGAAGATGAAGACAAGGGTATCACTCTGGTGAAAGGGACTTGTGTCTCACCTCCCAGGAGCTCCTCCCTAAGGATGCCTCTTCCCTGCCCTGCACAGTCCCAGTCATGTGACTGACCCAGTGCCCACCTCCTAGGTCCTCCTTGTGGCCCAGTGAACTGCAATGAGAAGATCGTGGTCCTCCTGCAGCGCCTGAAGCCTGAGATCAAGGATGTCATTGAGAAGCTCAACCTGGTGAGCCCTCCCACTTCCACCCCCACCCTTTGTCCTCCTTCGTCCCTGCCAGTTGGGCATGGCACCTGCCAGGTCTTAGCAGGAGAGGGCACAGCAAGTGAAGCCAGAATTCCAGGCTTTGGGGTTCAGGACAGACGTGGCATACTCCCACCCACCGTGATCAGGGAAACAAAGGAGGACAGGAACCTGGGAGTTGGGCTGGGGGCTGATGGGGTTTCAATGCCGTTCCCTCCTCCCAGGTCACCACCTGGTTGCAACTGCAGATACCTCGGATTGAGGATGGGAACAACTTTGGAGTGGCTGTCCAGGTGAGGACACTGCCCCACTCCTCTGCCCTCCTTATTTCTCCCGTCCATGCTGCTTTTACACTTTCCTCCTCGCTTTCTTTCCCCAGGAGAAGGTGTTTGAGCTGATGACCACCCTTCACACCAAGCTGGAAGGCTTCCACACTCAAATCTCCAAGTGAGTGATTGCCCACTGCTCTGCCTTTGGCTGGGACTGAGGCTTGTGCTCCCTCCTCCCCCTACTCCACACCCTTCTACTTCCCACAGGTATTTCTCTGAGCGAGGTGATGCTGTGACCAAAGCGGCTAAGCAGCCCCACGTGGTAGGTGAGGCCCAGGTCAGGGTGCATGGGAGGAGGGACACCTTTGAAGTCAGGCCTGACCCGAGTCTCCCACAGGGTGATTATCGGCAGTTGGTGCACGAACTGGATGAAGCAGAGTACTGGGATATCCGGCTGATGGTCATGGAGATCCGCAACGCTTATGTGAGGAGGCGAGGGCAGGGGTGGGCAGAGGCAGCTTTCCCAGGCCACCCACTCCCTGACCCTGCGGGCTGGGGGTGAAGGGTATCAAAGCTCGACCTCTCCACAAGGCAAGAAATGGGGCACAGAGCCACTGGGGACCTGCGGCTGACCCCCACTCCTCCCTGGCCCCGTAGGCTGTGTTATATGACATCATCCTGAAGAACTTCGAGAAGCTCAAGAAGCCCAGGGGAGAAACAAAGGGAATGATCTATTGAGAGCCTCCTCTCATTCTGTGATTGGTCCAGCAGAGACCTTCCTGACTTTCACAGGAGACTCCAGACTTTCCCCACCTTCTGTCTGTTGAGTTTTCTCCCAGGCACAATAAATCTAGTCATACCATCACCCAACAGCCCAAGTCTCTTTATTGGATCCTGAGCCTCCCCTCTGGCCCTGGCTCAGGTATTTCCATTTGTGGGACCAACCCACTGGGTGATTTGGGCGTTGAGCTGCTGGTTGGTCCAATCCTCCCGGATGTCGTCAAGGTGGCAGTCAAAGTCCACAAGGTGCTGGTGGGCGCGGCCCTCTAGTAGTGCTCCCACCATCTGCCGTGACTGTTCCCAGTCCCTCCACATCACTCTGAAATAAGAACCCCCATGGAGGTCAAACTCAGCAGGCAGAGGGGCCAGACACTTGGCAGAGGTTAGCTTCTAGAGAAGGACGCTTAGGGCAGAACCAACAACAGGAGGCTCAGGAGCTGTGGGCTTCCAAGAAGAGGTGGAGGGAGTGGGGCACTCACAAGTTCTTGTCCTTGGGGACCCAGCAGAGACCATGGCTCTCCAGGACAATAACTGGGGGCACGTGAGGCTGTGGCACCAGTTTCTGATTATCCAACTGTGTGGACAAGGAAGGGCAGGTGAGGGTTTCGAGGATTCCCCCTTCCTACTTTCTTTCCCAACTCCCCACTCTGAAACCCAAGCCTCACCATAATAAGTACTGCATCAGGGAAGAATTCTGCAATCTGCCCAGCGATTTTCAAGGCCAAGGGCCCAGGGCTGTGTAGAAGGAAGATCAGAGTTGTGAAGAGCCTCCTGTGGGCAGACCCAGTCCATCTGAGCTGGGCCTCCCAGGGCCCATAGACATGGAGGCAGTGACGGCCTTTCCCTGTAGTTGGCCTGGGGGCATCAGGCCTGCCCGACTGCTTCGTGCAAGACTTATGCTTGAGCGCTGTGGGAAACAGGTGCTCAGACACTGCTGGTGAGAGTGGAAATCTAAGATGGTCTTTTTGGAGAGTAATTTGGCATAACCATCCAGATTTATATTGTATGTTAACCCTACTAACGAAGAATTTACTGTAATAATAGGACAGTGTCTGTAATAAAAAAAAAAATTGGAAACAACCTCAATGTTTAATGTAAGGCACTAAATAAATTATGGTACATCCATGTTCATACTGTATAGCTGATAGGGTAAGGTAGATATTAGTGTAGGGATGGAAAGATGTCAGATATTTATTAAGGAGAGAAAAGCAAATTACAAAACAGTATAATTTGCTCCAAATATGTGACTGCTGTATAAGTAGATAACTTTTTCTGTATACAGTTGACCCTTGAACAATGAGGGGTCTAGGGGCCACAGAGCCTCCCGCAGTTGAAAATCTGCAGGTAACTTTACAGTGCGCCCTCCCTATTCTGGATTCTGCATCGGGATTCAACCAACCTCGGATCCTGTAGTACTGGAGTACCTATTCAGTGAAAAAATTTCGCCTAATTGTGGCCCCAGGTAGTTGAAACCCGTGTTGTTAAACGGTGAACTGTATATATAAAAAGAAACTTCCTTTTTTTAAAAGCTGCTGGTTGGGCTTCCTTTGTGTTTTCAGCACTTGGGGGGCATCTCAGTTACAGCAGGTGTCAGCCTGTTATTGTCCTTCCCACCCCACCGCAGCATTTATATTTTCTCACTGCCTACCCAGCCTAGTAGGTACCTTAGCTCTACAGTGGCTAAGCCTTGGATGAAGGAAAAATGGAAGGAATGACCAAGAGGGGCTCTCTTGACATCCCCCATCCCATAATCCTTAGCCCTCTGCCTCTGGCTTCCCCACTCACCTCCGGTCGTCCAAAGCTGCATTGGCATGGTAGTACCCTGCCACTACCAGCCCGGCCTGCGCGCCCCACACATCCACCTGCCATGGGAAAGCGCCATCAGTAACTAAATCGTGCCGCCCGCCCTATGGGTGCGCACTACTGCCAAGAGGCCAGGGATGGCCTTGGGCTAGGGGTGTTGGGGGGTTTCGCGGTGGTCGGTGGGCGTCCAGCGGCGGCACCTGGTTGAGGGCGACCTCCAGCATGACAGACAGGGCCAGGTGGCTGTGGAACAGGGGCACACAGTCGGTGAGGCACAGGCATTCTCTCGACCGCGGCGCTGGCGCCAGCAATAGCCCGTTGACAGCGGCGTGCGGGTAACGGGCGGCGTGCAGGCACATCTTCACGTAGGCCCGGGCCGAGATCTCCACCTCCCCCATGGCGAGCGGGGCCCCAGCTCGCGTTCGCGAAGCCCCCTCCAGCGCCCCCAAGCCCTCCTGGACCCTTCCCCGTGCCCCCTCACTTAGATTCGACGGTGACGCTGACTTGGCTCGAAGGCAGCCCGCCGGCTCCGGCCGACCTCAGCCCGGCGCCCGGCCCCCGGCCCCCACCCGGCCCGGAATGCAGGCGGCCGGGATTGCATGTTGTAGCACAGAGCTCCGCCTCCCCCGCCCCCAAGCGGCGGCAGCAGAGCCTTGGGGACACATAACCAGGGCTCCCAATCGGACCGGCTTCTGGAGTCCCGCCCACATGGTGCTCTTTGATAGGCTTAGAGAGTCTCGTTTTGCCAAATCAGCATCCAACATTGTCCCGCCTTTGACTGTAAAGAGAGCTACCCGCACACTGATTGGCTAGGCTACCCCACTTCGGCTCTTGATTGCAAGATGGCTGCGTCTGTTACCTCTGCCTCCCGCCCCTACAGGCCCCGCTGAACCACCTGGGTGGAGCCCGCGCCCCTCATCTGGTGTCTCCCCGAGACGCGGAGCTTCAAATGTCGGTACGTAGCGGACAGCTTGGCTCCAACTATGGAATGAGTGGATTGGTACTCTAGAGCGGCTTTGTCACTTACTAATAAGCCGTTGTCACTTTTGCAACTGCAGGTTATCTGACCCTTGCTTTCCTCAATGTAATGACTGCAGAAATAAAGATGGCATTGGCTGAAGGAGGGTAAAGGTCAAAAAGAATTTTATTGAACCATCCTTCCCATAATGTCCTGTAGTATAATTTCCTTCGCCTTAACGCCTTGGAAGCGTTTTTTCCCCTCCCAGCCCTTGAGGAGTCCAACCATTTACCCATAATTTTCCCAGTGAAATCTCATTCTCCCTCCAGGCGTGCTCTGAGCTGAAGAAAGGGGTTCTTCATTCCCTGACCTCAGCCTCAGAGCTTTCCCCCAGTCTGTCCAAAGCCTGATTATTCCTATAAGGGCTCTGCCCAGATGCCATCTCGTCCAGGAAGCACTCATGACACCTCCAGATGGAAATAATCTTGTGAAATTCCCCAATACACGTTATTTTCATGGCTGTCATGGCATGTACAGTTCCCACCCTGTTCTTTAGGATGACTTCCTAAGGACAGGATGGACCTTTAATTCATCTTCCTCTTCCCGGCACCCCTCCCTTTCTCATCACCACATTCATTCACATTTAGTGACTGGATATAGGTGACACTCAGTAAATGTCTTTGAATGAATGACACACACCAGAGATTATCCACACAAAGTATAGGTCATTTATTTCCCTTCTAACCCTGGGCTCAGTACATAGATGGCTTCTCTTCACCCTTTGGGTTGACAATTTTCTCCAGGTTGCTGCTTATAATATGGTAAAGCTCAGCCTGGAAGAAGGCCAGAGGGCAACAGTCAGGTACTTGGCCTTTCCCCTGCGCCCCTCATTCACCTCCCTTAGGGGCTTACTCCACACTCACATAGAAGGCCCTGAGGTCCAGCACCATGGCCCTGAGCTCTCCATAGGCTGCCTCGTCTCGCTCGTGCACCAGGGCCCGGTAATCCATCTGGGATGTGGAAGGCAAAGCTGAGTCAGCCCCATGGGAGGTTGGGACATTAGTCTGGTTTCCTCATACAGGGAATAGGTAACTTGAGGAATGAGCCCCTTCTCAGCCAAGAAATGGGATCCCAGAGGATCAAACAGAGAAAGGGGTCAAGGTTTTTGAAGCCTAAATTAGTTTTCCTGGGCTTGATATTCTTCACATTGGGAAGGTCACAAATGAGACAAAGAGGACCTCTATCCCCCACTTTCTCATCACCCCCCATCCCCAGCAGCCTCAGCTAAAAGGCTGGTGGACTGTCCACTTACTACGTGGGTCTCCTTAGAGGCCTTGGCCACAGCATCCCCACGTTCTGAGAAGTACCTGCCAGAAGCAAGAGGAGTAACCACAGGAATGGATGTTCAGAGAGAGGTACTCCCTCAGACCCTTCCCAAAGCACCGCTTCATTCCGATAGGCATGCCCAGCTTTGGGAGTCCCAAAGAAATGTCCCTGCAGACCCCGGTGCTGGCCTTCCAGATGTCCTTACTTGGAAATGGTTGTCTGGAAGGCTTCCACTTTGGTCCTGACTGCATTTACCCTCTCCAGCACCTTTTCCTGTGGAGACAAAAGAGTGGAAAGCAAAGACAACCCTTCATCTCCTCCCTCCTTCACTCACCGTCTCCCTCCTCCTCCCAGTTCTTGTCTAGCTCCTATCCCTTACTCCTGAAGTCTCTCCCTGCTGTCAGCATCCTCACACACCCTTTCTCACCTGGATTGCCACCCCAAAGTCATTTCCATCCTCAATTTTGGGGATGAGGTGCTGGATCCATGTGATCACCTACATTAAGAGATATCACATAGGAATCATTCAACAAACCCTCTATTCTGCTTACTGCTACTTCCTAATAATAGGTACATTTAACTGAGTACTTATTATATGGCAGGCACTGTGCTATGTATTATATATCTCATTTAATCTTCACAACAACCTTTCAAGGTATATATTCTTTTTTTTTTCTTGTTTCAAAGTATATATTCTTATTGTACCCACTTAACAGATGAAAAAACTGAGTCACAGGATGTCTAAGTTACTTACTTAAAGTAACCAGTTAGGTAAGTGATAGAGTCAGGATTTGAACCAAGGCAGTCTCCCTCTAGAGCCCAAGTTCTTAAACCAACTCACTGTATCATAGCATCTGTGCTCTGTACCTGGTACAGCAGTAGGTTCTCAGGTTATAGAGGTGGATGCAGCACAGTCTAATTTGGGGATATCATTGTGATAGAGAACAAAAGGTATCTAAACCCAAGGCACAGAAGGAAGCTTCCTATTTGGGGAATAGTTTCCTAAATGAAGGAATTGAATCTCTGAAGGAGACCAGGGCCTGGCCTTGCTCGTTTTCTCTGTCCCCCAGTTCCCAGGCTTACCAGAATGCATTTTTCTTTGAGAATCCAGACTTCTGGCTTAACCAGGGCAAGCAAGGCCAGGACCTTCTCATTCCCAGGGAGAAAGCCGCACTTAGGGACTGTGAGAAAGAGGGGACTTAGACCCTTTCTCATCCAGTAGTCAGTGTGCCATTTCCCTTTTCCTAGCCACCCCTTCCTCTCTTACCTTCTTTCTTCTCTTGCTTATCCGTTTCCATCTAAGGAAAAAAGGGGGAAAGTAGCTTTAGAAAAGTCATGGAGGTTGGAGGGCCATTTACACTGGGTTTATAGCCCAAGCCCTACACCATGAGTGCCTCACCTCATCATCCTTGGGTGGAGGGTCTGGGATGGGGATGTCCAGCGAGGCCCGGAGAGAAGTCATGTCAGTCACGTTGAGGGAGTCCTCCTGCACAGAGCTCACTGTCAGGGGCTGCCCAGCCTCTTCCCCTCATCCTGAGTCAGAGCCTTCCCTCCACACATCCCACCCAACCTCTGCCTCCCAACCTAGGCTCAGGCCTCACACTATCCTAATGTTCCCAGTCCACGATTTGCGACTGTTCTCTGCATTCGGAGCCCAGTTGTTAGCTAGAGAGGGTGGATGGAGAGGAGAGAGGCCATGGGGTGGGGCAGGAGGAGTCCACACTACTCACTTGCAAGAGCTGATTCAGGTATATGATTTTCTGAGGTAAGAATCTGTAGAGGAATTCCTCAGCCTGTGGGTTACATTGCAAGGGTCGGAATCACAGAAGACATTCAGTGAGATGTCTGAGAAGTGGGACTGGAAGGGCCCTTGGAAATCATTGACTCCAGTACTTATAAATGAGGGAACTGAAGCCCTGAAAATGGAAGGGAATTCCCCAAGCTGGGATGCAGCAGAACCAAGGTTAGAACTGTGGTATTCCTGCTTTGGGGCCATGGCTTTTCCCTCCACACCAACAGAGGGGAGAGGAAGTGGTGGAAGTGCAGAAGGTATTAAGAGGGGTACAGGTAAAAGTAGAGATCAATAATTAAGAGCTTATCTTAGGTGGAGGCTTAATAAGTGAAGTAGGGCACGGATGGAGGGTGGGTTTGGGGATCAGTCTGAGAAGTTGCAACCCTCAAGTATTGGCCTAAGATTCTGGGTCAAATCGCTTGAATCCAGAAGACTTACCTCCTGGAAAAGATTTTGCCTGAAGACATCCACCTGCACAGAGAGCGGTACCCGGATGTTGGTTAAGGGTCTCAGATGTCCAGAGTAAGATCCCACCCCCAACAGGATGCCCTCCAACTTGGCTCAGTTCTTTCCCACCACAAGCCAGACTTCCCAGGAAGCCCATGCTCAGTGCAGAGATTGTCCGGAGGGCAGGAATCTGGTAATCCCCGGGCAGAAGTGAAAGCACTTAGGTTGGGAGATTTCTCTGGCACGGCCTTGGTCCCTCGGAGCACCCAGTTTGGCCTCCATTTAGAAGGGCTCCTCGGCGCCTTCCTGGCCTCCCGGTCCCCCGTTACCTGTTTGCGGGCTTCCCCGCTCAGGCGCACCCCACAAGGCTTGGCCATGTTGCTCCAGTTGCTGCTAGGTCTCCGGTCTCCCTGTTCGCCGCCTGGGCTTTCGCTTTCACTCCCCACGTCCAGGCCCGCCCCCCTCAGCCCCACCCCCTTCCTTCTTTTCCCCCTCCCCCTGGAAGGCCGCAAACCCTAAGGAGCCCCTCTGCCATTCTCGGCCTGTGAGACTAGAAGAGGCGGTGCTGACTCGGTCACACACCCAGGGGCTGTCCGGGGGAGGGGCTAGGACAAGTGGGACGGGCGGAGATTGAACAGGGGCTGTCCCTCGGAGAAGGGGAGGGGCTTAGAGAGAGGTGGAAAGAACCGTCCAAGGACAGTCAGGGTTGGGGTGAGAAGGGTGGGAGAGTGGGAAAGGGGGTGTTAAGTGGTGGGGCTCCCCCAGGACGGCTTGACTGCGGGGAAGGGCCAGAGAGGGATCAGAGTGGGCGGGAGAAGTAGCAGGAGGGGGAAGGGACAGAGGATAGGAAGGGAAGAAGGCGCGGGGGTTTCCGGAGGGCGTCCTATTTTCAAGACTGACTGGAGAAGGGGCTTGAGTGGGGCTCAGGCCGGCCAGAGTTGAGTCCCCAGCTGAGTGGGATTTCCCCTGTGGGGTCCCGGATAGAGAGGAGGGCTTTGAGGGGAATAAAGTAACCCCGTACCGGGGTCTATCCGGAGAGGGGTGGGACCAGCCTGGACCAAGGAGGGGAAGAGCGCCAGAACAGGGTTTGCAGCCTAGGCGCTCTGGGGGAGGAGCCATGGATTATTTATCATTATCATTGGCTGGGACTCTGGGACACGCCCCCCCCAATTTCTTGGCCTCCGCCCTTCCTCAAGCTTAGACCCCGCCCCTTCCCCTGAATCTGGGTTGCAGTCCCGCCCTCTTTCCTAGTACTTCCTGTTCCCGCTAACCCTGGCGTTGGGCCTGGGGCCGAAGAGTGACCGTGCCTTGAGTGACCCGGGGCGTCCGAACCGACCGGGTCGGGCCGCGAAGCCAGGCCCCAGGCGCTACTAGCGGCGCTCGGGCCGCGCACAGCCTGTGCCGGGTCCCGTCGGGCAGCGGGCTGGGGCTGACTCCTGTCTCAGGATGCCGGGGGAGGAGGAGGAGCGGGCCTTCCTGGCGGCCCGCGAGGAGCTGGCGAGCGCCCTGAGGAGGGATTCCGGGCAGGCGTTTTCGCTGGAGCAGCTCCGGCCGCTACTGGTCACCTGTCTGCCGCCAGCAGCCCGCTACCTGCAGCTGGATGCTGCACGCCTGGTTCGCTGCAACGCTCATGGGGAGGTGAGGCCCGGCCCGGGTTGGGAGGACAGAGGACCTGAGGCCGGGCCGGGGCTCACAGCTCTCTGCTCTCTGACTGCTCGCAGCCCCAAAACTACCTCAACACCCTCTCCACGGCCCTGAACATCCTGGAGAAATACGGCCGCAACCTCCTCAGCCCTCAGCGGCCCCGGTACTGGCGCGGGGTCAAGTTTAATAACCCTGTCTTTCGCAGTACGGTGGATGCTGTTCAGGTGAAGCCCCTGGGCCCCTAATGGGAGAAGGGAACTTAGCCTGGGCTGGGGGTTGCCTAGAAAGGGCCTGAGGCTGTGCTGAATGGGTTGAGGTCCAGCCCTATTGGGAAGGGGACCTGCTGGGCGGTGACAGGTTTGAATGTGTGGCAGGGGGGCCGGGATGTTCTGCGATTGTATGGCTACACAGAGGAGCAGCCAGATGGGTTGAGCTTCCCTGAGGGCCAGAAGGAGCCGGATGAGCAACAAGTTGCTACAGTCACACTGGAAGTACTGCTGCTTCGGACAGAGCTCAGCCTGCTGCTACAGGTGAGGTATCTCTACCTGTATCTCTACCCGAGGACTTAAGCGTCAGGGCTGGGAATCCCAGCCTAACAACAAAGCCAGTGTGGGGACTCCCATGTTGCTGAACCATAGGCATAGTCCCCACAGTAACTTAGGATCTCTCTGTACTTTTCACCCTGTGAACGTTGGGGGACCAGGGCTTTGAGGGAGGGCCTTGTTCCAGGGCTCTAGGTGGGAACTCCTCTTACCTTGTTTGCAGAATACTCATCCAGAACCACAAGCACTGGAGCAGCTGCTGAAAGACAAGGTTGAAGATGATGTAAGGAAGGCAGGAATGGGGCTCTGGGGCCTGGTGAACAAAGTGAACCTGTTGTGGGCCTCTGTCCCCAAGCCCTTGCTCATTCCCTGTCCTTTTCCCTCAGATACTGCAGCTCTCAGAGTTTGCCCCCTTACTGAGAGAGATTGCTCCTGGCCCCCTCACCACACCCTCTGCCCCAGGTATTATTGTCCTATGTTGGGGGGTGGGAGTGCTAGTAGATCATATTGATGGAAACTTCCTCTGTCTTCTTGGTTATCTTCCTTTTATATAGATTAAAATTGTTTCCTTGGGTTGAAAAGACGTGCTGAAAAGTTGTCTGTGATTTGTCTCCTCCACAGCAGATTCAGATGTAACCTGGTCTTTTTTAGAAAGATGTTCTATTTTTTCCTGTTCTCCAGCCTCCATTCCTGGTCCCTGCTTCCTCTGTGGTTCTGCCCCAGGCACATTGCACTGCTCAGCTTGTAAACAGGCCTTGTGCCCAACTTGTGATCGCCTCTTCCATGGACACCCAGACCGTGCACATCACCTCCGCCAGACCCTGCCTGTGGCCCCCCAGGCCACCCACCTGACCCCCAGGTGAGAGGCCTTTTCTCCTGAGTGGGAGTGAAATTGAGAGAACTTAAAATTATTTGAGTATCTACTATGTGCTGGATTCTGTGCTAAACACTGTCTCATAGAGAGCAAGCAGCCAGTTACTGCTCTCCAGGAAATCATAGATATACATATCAAACAAGTAGCAGTCATAGCAAAATAGATTATTTGGGTGTGCAGATAGGTAGTAGGAGGATGCAGCTTAGTCAGAAGGATCAGCTCAATCAGTTGGTAGTATTTTAAGCACCTAATAGGGGTCAGGCCCTATGTTAGGGATATTTACCAGCCAGATATGGACTTTAGGCTGTCATTTAAATGTTGAACAGGCTATGGGTATGGCAGTGTTCCAGACATGTGCAAAGGCCAGAGCCATGTGTTGTCCTGCAGGGAATGAGGGATGCCCATGGGTAAGGGTCCCAGGCACCCCCTCAGCAGGCCGTGTCTGCTTTTCCATTACAGCTTACCTGCCTCAGCTCCACCACAGCCTCAGTCAACCTCCCTGCCGGCCCTGGGAGACAGCTCTCTTTCTTCCCCTGATCCTGCAAGTGCGCGTCTTCCCTGGCACTGTTCTGCCTGCGCCATGCTGAATGAACCTTGGGCAGTACTCTGTGTGGCCTGTGATCGGCCCCGAGGCTGTAAAGGGTTGGGGCTGGTGATTGAGGGTCCCCAAGGAGCTGGGGGCCCAGAACCCGAGCTTGCACGGGGTCGCTGGGCCTGCCAGAGCTGCACCTTTGAGAATGAGGCTGCGGCTGTGCTGTGTGCCATATGTGAGCGACCTCGGCTGGCTCAGCCTCCCAGCTTGGTAGTGGATTCTCAGGATGCCGGCGTTTGCCTGCAGCCCCTTCAGGTAACCTATTCCTGGCCTTCTCAACTCTTTATTTGCACCTGTTACCACAGGCCATTCTCTACTTCTTCATCCCCTATTTTCCTTCAGTTCCCTGGTGTCTTCCCCCCAGCGTCCTATATTTCCATCTGGAGCCTCAGCCAACCTCCAATGGGATAATTCTTTCTGCTTTCCCAGCAGGAGGATACTTTGCTCTCCTCTGCCCAGACTCCAGTGTGGTACTGCATTCACTGTACCTTCTGCAACTCGGGCCCTGGCTGGGTGTGTGCTATGTGCAACCGGACCAGCAGCCCCATCCCAGCACAGCGTACTCCCCGGCCCCTTGCCAGCTCTTTGGAAGAGCAACTCCCTGAACCAGGGCCTCCACGACGCCTCAGTGCCCCCCTGGCCAGTTCCTGTGGGGACCTTGAGAAGCAGCGCCAAGACAAGATGCGTGAGGAAGGTCTCCAGCTAGTGCTCAAGATCCGGGTGAGGATTTGGGCCTGGGATAAGCTTGTGGGGGAAGAGAGAGGCTGCAGTTGATTGATGCAAGTTCTCAAAACCTGTCATTGTTAGCAGCAGCTGCCTCTTATTGAACCCTTCCCCCACGGCAGGTATCATGCTGTGTCCTGCTCACGTGATCCATGATCCATGATCCATGATCCATGATCCATGACAGCTCAAGCACTGTCAGCATTTTGGTTCGGGCTAAGGGTGGGTGGGGTGTGCCCTTCCTGATGGGCGCTCTGTCTGGGCGGGACTGTGCCTTAGGAAGGGGAAGCTGGAGGCGCCTGTCCAGAGGAGGTCTTCTCAGCTCTGCAGTACTCAGGCACTGAGGTGCCCCTGCAGTGGCTGCGCTCAGAGCTGCCCTACGTGCTGGAGATGGTGGCTGAGCTGGCTGGACAGCAGGACCCGAGGCTGGGTGCCTTTTCCTGTCAGGAGGCCCGGAATGCCTGGCTGGATCGTCACGGCAACCTGGATGAAGCTGTGAAAGAGGG